CTACTAAGATGACGCTTGACCACTGTAAGACGTAGTAGACCCTAGACCATGTTCTATTCGGCCCTTTTCTGGAAAACTGATAATTACATATGGTATCATTTATCTATGTAGATGATTTGTTCACAACTCACTGTCACAGAATGGCGCAAACTATATATCGTTAATTCATTCTGTAATACAATCCTCGTGAGGCAAAACAACCCGAACAGAGGCAAAATATATGTTCCTATATACAGACCCAAAGTACGGTGCTTACGTTGAAGCTTTTTCTAATGCTTTGTTTTTGATCTTGCATGTTAGTAAAAACATGTTTCAATACACTCAAACGCTATTGCCGGTTCAATGTCCATCCACCTAGTACTATTCATAGCAAGTGAAGCTTCACTTTGAAACCTAAACTATTCGGTACTTATCTTCAATTTGTTCTTCTTGAATTTGCAAATAACTATTTAATAGTACCTTGATGTTAAGCGATATCAATAGGTACAAACTCGTTTAAGTATTGCGTGAATGCGCTATGTATAAAAAATTTCAGTCGAACTTAATTTCGAACTGTCAGCAAATAAATTGCGAAACTTCATTGGGTCATTTTGATGAATTTTTGTGCTACTTATACCTAAAACCTGTTAAGGATTTATGGGTTTACCCATGAGTACCTTCCTCTGGTTTTTCAAAATTCACATAAACACCGGCAATAACCGAGGCAGTCAATTTTGAAAAAAAAAAAAACAGAAAAGCGATGTTGTTGACTCTAGCGGAAACCTATTTAGCGCAAAGAGGTTAGATAATAGCCTATTCCTGCACAAACTGTAAAAACGACGTATCATTCTCCACTGCGGAGGATCATCATTGGAGGACGGATGGGGTGTTCAGTTCCTTGGCAAAACGCCCGTTCGTTACAACAAACGACCCATTAAAGCCGCCCCAATTTAAGTGCCAAACACTATATATTATTTGTAGACATTTAAGAAGTACGTCTTTAGTCGTACAACGTTAGCACGTAAAGCATGCATGACAGTCGCATTATTGCACGCCCATTTCCAAAGTATCATTTTGAATATGTTCAACGATTTGGATAGGTATTGAGCGGATCACCTTTTCAACTACTACACATTCAGTAAACGAACCACGTTCAGGAGTTTCCCCTGGCACCGTTATTATATTTCGTGCAAGTTCGTAACGTGTTTATAAGCAGAAAAAACACCATACTGTTTATAGTGAAGGTGTTTCATACTGCGGCGTATGGTGAACGACTGAGCGTACTAAGCTAATTTAGAAACTGTCAAATGGCTAAGCAACAACAGGAAGCAACCAGACTTTTCAATAAATAGCCCCACTTTTCTTCCTATACACGAAGTATATATATATATATATATATGCGTTCACTTTATCCTGCGCCGACGTCGTCGTCAAAATAGTTCACACAACATATGGGATAAGTTATCTCTAATAATAGTTTCGAGTAGCTGTGTTTATAGATACACAAAGTTAAAGATAATTATCTTTGGTCGCATTAATTTTTCCGTAAGTGTTATCTCTGTAACTCTTGTCCCATTGACATGTGCTGCTACAAACCTATTCTTTTAACGTTTTCCAATTAGTCTCGGTTGCACTCGAACGGCGGAGCATCTACATTGCAGTGAGTAGAACAGATACGGTAAATGTATATCGGGTTCCTGTAGATCCAAGGATGTAACTAATCACTTTTTGTTCATTATACTGTAACACGTCCGTTATTTATTCTGAACGTGTTGAAACTGTACAATGTTTGACAGAAGATTAAAGGATTATACGCGGGGCTATAATGGGTTATAATAACCAGGTCTAAGGAGAGCGCATTTGTCGGTTCAATTCTTATAAATTATCAATAAAAATCATTCGAAGCAATTTATCACTGTCGAGTTCATAAATGGCCTTTAGACTATTAAGTAATACATATATTTTAGTAAACAGTCGCGCAGGCTTCCAAATATTTATGTGCACATTAATCCTGACCTTGAACACTCGGTTCTCGAAATGGATTTTAAGGCTCTGCAAATAGCATATAACGCACAATTTAAGATCAGCATTCTAGCCTATTAGATCCACATAAAATCCGAAATCTCTCGAGGAGTTTATCTTAAAAAAACTTTTTGGCTATTAAAAAAAGGCTATTTGTATTGTCACCGTTGACATCAAGATCTGAATCGTAACTCAACTCAAATTAACAAGCTTCTCTTTCTTCATCAAGCTTGACAAAGCTTCAAGCTTATCTTAAGGTATTCTATAATACTCCGCTCGCGCTCTTTGTTCTGAGGCTCTATGCCATGCGTATGTCCGTCTAGTAAATGTAGACACAAAATTAAACGAGCCATATATTTCCCAGCTAAAATCACGTTTTGCCAGAATTGTATAATTTCATCGTTTATCTATACATAAAATTTTAGTAGATGTCATCTTCCCTGTGCCTCATTCTACCTGTGCTGTGTATGAACGTACATGAACTTTTTGATTCGTCAGAATAGTGCAGCAGAGCACCATAATAATTCTGTCCTCGTGCGTCGTTAATGAGTACTGCTGTTAGTAGTTAGAGGCGATGTTAAAAGGTTTGGCATGCTTAAAAGCAACGCACTTCTCTACAGTTGCCGTCTATGTTTAAGATCTAACCTCGAGACTTTGTCTTTGTTCTGCCTCTTGCGTTCTGCCTTAGTCTCAAGGCCAACTAAAGCTATATAAAGTTATAGCGGAACACTCAGAAATTGTCCACGGCCTGACAAGAAGGCTCAGTCTCCACAAAGAAATACTCTGCATGACGGCAAGGGACCGCCAAGTACCATTTGCCAGACCGTAAGGTCTTTTCGTGGGGCAATGACATGAAGAAAGCCATCTTCACTAGCACCAAGCTAGCTAGTAAGTAGCGCGGACTAACGGCAAGCGATGAGCACCCCCCGAGGGCAAGGGAACGAGGCAAGTAAAGATAGGTGGTGTCGCCATTTCGACTCAGCTCCGGCAGTTGCCTTTACGGAGTTCACTAACGAGCAACCAGGATGAGGGGATGCTGATAGTGTGTGTCCTTCGCCCGCTAGCGTCGTTGTCATCGACGCTGACAGCAGCGTAGGCAGGTACAAACGTCTACCATATGCCATTGAAGAAGCAATCTGAGTAGCCCGTGGCATAAGTGAGAGCACGACCCACGCACAGTATAATGGCATAGACACCAGGCAGACAAATAGGAGGGCCACAAACAGATGGAAGAACAGAGATCTGCGAGAGGTACAGTAGACTCTTCCATTAATGCTATATGATTGTTTCGTACAATAACAAGTGTACATAATTAAGAGGCTGTTTCATTTTAATTGTTATCCCCATCGTATAATTATAAGTAGAATATTCAAGGACACAGGGAAAGCAGGATCATCTTTGCGGATCCACTACAATGGGTCATCTAAAGCTTATTTTGTCTATGACGTATAGCACTATTTCTTGTAAACGAGTTATATACAGAACGTCCTTAAAGATAACAGGAGAATACGAGTACAATTGGGTACCCAGAATTGTGTGCAAGCTTATTTTTAATAGAGTTCTCTCTGTGGAAAGTGCGATAAACCCACTGTGGCATTCCTGAATATGTGTAGCGGCACAGTTACCTGTAAAGTCGCTGAGTTTTACATGTTTTTTTTGTGGCATTATCTTAAGTCAAATTTGTGGCCAGTCAGTAGCCATCTAGGAAGCCGAAAAACCCATAAAATATGACATCAAAGTTCGTTGTGTTGATTTTATGATTCAGGTACGACGTTTGGCGGACTGTAACTCATTCATTCGAGCTAAGTACATTTTACCTTGTTCTGGAAAGCTTTTATCTATATCGTCGATACGCGTTTCCTCTATAAGAGTCAAAAGCCAAATGAGCTCAGTCATGCTTATTCAAATCTTGGTTAACGTGTGCACATTCGGCTCGTTACGTGCCATGAAATAGTTCATCCTATACACTGAATTCACGAACGCTATTTCCTGTGAAAAAGGCTTTGCTATATTTGCATTACTTAGTTAAGGCTAAAACATTTTACCGCCTTTGCTTCGCATACAAATGCCGCGTGGTTTAAGTGTATCTATTTCTCCACTAGAGTGCGCTGCTAGACCAAGCTGCACCACAAGGCAAATGTTTATACAGAAGCTTCTCATTTTAACATTATAATGGGCTTTTAGTAGCTCCCTGATATCCCAAAAACCTTTTAACCAATATAAAATTACAGGATCCAGAGGCAGACGGCTGCTCAACGATTGCACGTCTGAATCTTTGGGTAGCCATGTGTGCACTGGCTGTAACACGGTTTTGTCCGTTTCGTTAAAAGTGTGCTCAGGGTATTTTTAGTAAGACCTGGAATTTTTGTATAAACTTGAACACTAGAGAAGTACATGACTTTATGACGATTGTAAGCCATGTGTCGTTTACTACGACGCCATTTCGAAATGGTGCTATCTCATCATGGAGACCTTCGTAGCCTTATTGGCCGATCATGTGCAGCGAGGCCATCACAAAGGTTGCTTTTACAGCAACTGTATTTTTCCTGTTCTCATTGTGCCCGTAGGCATGTATCTGTAATAGCTGATCCATTCGGCTGACTGTTTCTTTACAGTCTGTTTAATGTCACTTTGATGTATGCCCCATCTATGATTGAACAGGCCATCACTACTATACAGTTCAGTTAGCCGCGTCTCAAGTTGACCACCACAGGCTTCTCGGGGCAAACTCTGCGTTCGATGTAAAATCAATCAATCAATCAATCAATCAGTGGCAAAATGATTGCTGTAGTCCCTGGAATGGTATAATGAATCGAGTTTTAAATAGCATTTGACTGGTTATGGAACCACTCGACTAATCTTCGAAATGAATGGAACATGTTTACTTTGAAGCTTGATAATGGTGTCAGCAAACGCTTTTCTTAACCAGCAGGTTCTAACTGCCTTCAAGTGGCTGACCCCCATCCTAGGTACAACATTGAAGTTTTCATAACACTGACCTTGCTCGAACGATGGCCTTTCTTCTTTCGACTTCTTCAACTAACCGAATTTTCTCGGCTTCAGTAAAGTGGCACGCGGTGCCAGGCCTAGATGCGAAACCGTGCATGCCTGAAAGATCGGAGAACATAAAAAGAACTTATTTAAAAATTTTGTTCTACTGTTGTTATTCTTACTGAAATGATCACCTAAAGTTAGATGCGCACATATCTCGACTGGTTATTGAATAAGAAATTTTAGAACGTGTCCAGCGTGTGTCTCCTCGTTATACAAGATCACTTCGGTTGTCATCTGGGTCTCTCATCTCCGTTTTTTAGAAATGCTACTCCGTATTCTGCTATTAACAATACGATTGGTACGGATATAAATACCTTTAAGCTTCTTGGGAACGGTTTTCCACATGATGAATGTGATAAACCGCTTACCTTTTTAGTTCTTCAGAGCCTGTATTTTTTTAAAGACAAAAACGAAAGACGAACTCGTAGTTCAATATGAGTTACTTAGCTGGAGAAGCTGGCAAGGATATAGCAGACAAGTATACCATATCCAGCTTTTTTTTTTCGAAGAGGCTGTACATTTCTTTTTAGGTTGTGTATGTAAAATCTCATATAGGATATTAGGATTAAGATATTGCAATATTTGTATGTGTGGCCTCGTGCAAAAGCTTATTCATTATTCAAGGTGCCTCAGGTTTTTTTTTAAGATCGTCATGATCTCTTAGTAGCTCAGTTTATACGCGTCCCTTTTAAAAGGAAATTGCTGAGCACTCTTATACTATATATGCGTCTCTTTCCGTCGAGATTGTTTAATTATATGAATAGTCTGATGAAATATAGTTTTTTTTACCACCGGATGAAATGGCCCGCTGGGTTGTACTCTTGTCAGTTACTAGCATGTCCGTGTGGCTACCCGATACGGAAGTAAAGAGTACATTGTACGAAGCAATTAGAATAAACTGAGATTGCTTAAACGGAGCAATTATCATGCAGCTAATTTACGACCGACATTTTTAATACAAGGTCCATGCATTTCAATATGACGAAATAAAGGTCCGACTCAGTGTGCTTTATGTGTGTCATATCATATATATATATATATATATATATATATATATATATACATAGACGTCTGAATGTTTTGTATAAAATTAGAAAAAAAAGCATCATCTGTCATATCTCAGTAAATGACTTACTTTCCTCCAGACATCCTTATTTTAGGATCTAGAATAAAGGCATATGATTAGGTTATAGGTGCTCTCTCAGACGCTTTGCCAGCGACAATGAGAATTATTGAGAATGTTTTAATGGGTCAAAATGATTCGAGATGTTTAATCCGCTTAATTCCTATGCCTCGAAGCCTTGACAGGTCGAGGCTAATTGACAAAGTTGTTTTCTTCTACGGCCTGCTAGAGGCCTGATAAAAATGATACGACTACCTTGATGCAGGATGTAAACGGGGCTCAATTAAACTGTCCACTGGTTTAATATTGTTACCGGAATCTATCTGCAGTTAAATATCACATGATTTCATTCAACTACAACAATTTTAGATTAGCGATAAAATATTTTTGAAAAAAAATCCACTAGCTTTTTTAATAAAAAAGAACTTACTAAGTTGTCCAGTTCTGTTAAAATCATGTTTTCGTATATTCTACAGAGTGCATTGTATGAGTTATTATGATCCCTTAAAGGTAACCTTAAAAAAAATAACGATGCTTCCTTTATGAAATTTCGTTTAGGCCCCATAATAACTAAATATTGAAGTAAGTGTGACTAGCGCATTTATCAGGCAACAGGTTTTTCCTTGTCTTCTGACCTTCAGATGTTACTTCGGCTGGACACAGAACGTGACATGCAGTAACACAGTTCGTTCATACTATACCAGATGCTTTTCCGGACATGGCCTAAAAAAGTGCGTCCGTCCGTCCGTCCTGTTCTATTTGATGCACCACGACAGCGTGCATGCTTTACCTAAAACAGGCAAGGACTCGCAAATACGAGCAGGCAGGACTGTGAGAGAAAACCTTTAATCCCAATATTCGTAGGCCTGGCAATGTTGTCCTGAGAATCGCCCTATATTTACCGTGGCCAGTATTTCGGTTAATAATACAGCTGAAAGCGGTTTATTCAATCCGAATTCAAATCTTTCTACTCGGGGAAGCGACGAAGCGGCCTAGATAGATAAGAGGGTATCGATCCAGCTAGAATATGCGTCATCAAAATGTATGCCGTTCTCTAAAGTTGTAACCGTACATGTGCCATGTGCTTTCATTGGTTCTTTACTGACGCAAGCGGTTTATTTGGCGTATGATAGGTATAAGCCAGCGGCTCCCCAGTTTCAGCGCTATAAGATTGTGTGCCAGTCTGCACGTGACGCTTGGTAATTTTCTAAGCTTATTAGGTTGTCATATTAATTTGGCGCGCACTTCAATTTGAAAGGGATAAACATCATTATACAGTACTCCTGGTACAAAATTGGAACAAGCTATACTATGAATTGCAAATTTATTACGAAGAAACTCTCGTTGAAAAGCTGCAGAACAAGCAAAAAGAGTTTATACAGAAGAAAGTAGCCAAGGAAATATTAGGTGCACGAGTGTGGCCTGCTCAAGCCAGTTATCTAGCTTATCAAGGAAGAGTTTCCAAAAGATGCTCTCCAGTAATTTTTCTATAAAACTAATGATTAAGGTCAATAAACAGCCTGATAGTTTATCGTCTTTACACCAAATAAGTAGAGTTCGCATGTTGGTCTTATTACCGTGGCAGCATTTGCCCTATCTTTCGAAAGCCACCCCCTTAAAATTCTGAAATATCGGAATATACGTAAAACCAGTAATAATAAGTTAGTTTCTTCAAATTAGTTAAGCATTCATTTTAGGCTGAAACTCTATTAGGTTTAATTGAATAGCTATACAATTAAAAGATTAAATTAACTCTATTGGATATAAGTGATCATATGCGAAAACATTTTGCTACCGATAAAAAAATCACTATAGTTTATAGAAAAAATCAAATTTGAGTACTTTTCGAACGCTTCTAATATTGACCTCTGTCAATTTTTTAATGTGCACTTTTGGTTGTTTATGATGTTATCTCTGAGATAATTTACAGTAATACCAAAAATACATTGCAAGGAATTGTGCCTGCGATTATATCGTCTTAGGGCGAAACGGTGGTGAGCGTCAACTAAGCTTGTTGTGTGACAATTTAATAGCGCGCCTTGAGGCTGAGACGGTTGACCTATGATTGATTAGATTGTGTTTTAGAAGCGCATAGTATATAGATATAAAGATCAACGAGTCCACTAAGGACCTGGCTAGGTGTATCCGACGGCGACATTTGTCACGTTGTTCTCCTGTAGGACACGCTTAAACGCGTCACGTAAAAAGCAAAAATTAGCGAGAAAAACCGTATCAAGAAAGGCAATACGAGACAAAAGGAAATTCCTTCTCCTACATATTATAAATAATGCGTGATTTGGGAATGCATGGGGAAAATAAACGCGAATATTAAAAGACAAACCTTTCTATTAAAGAGGCATTTGAGGTTGAAACTTTATTAATTCGCACTAATGAGCCTACTATTAGGTTTCAAACTTGCATTGCGTCTTAGTCTGCAGCACCCTCATAAAAAGGGAAGGTTGACTGACGTCTCTCCAAAATAACCAAACACGCGTATACTGTTATTTGTTCGGAAAGAGTCAGGAATTATATTTATTCGCCAAGAGTAAACTATGACACCCGCTGTTGTTTCAGCAACCCAATATTCGTCGTGGCTATTATTTTTGTTGGCGTTGTTTTTTGTTTTTATCAGAAAACATCGTCAAGCGTCGTGCTGATGTTGTTAAATCCACTTTTCTTGCGCCATTCGCTTGTAATGCGCTAGTGGCCGTAGTGGAAGTAGCAACAGTCGTCGTCGTCGTCGTCGTCGTCGTCGTCGTCGTCGTCGCCGCCGCCGCCGCCGCCGCCGCCGCTGCCGCCGTGTCGCTAGTAGTTGTAATAGTGTTGCATTTAAAGCCTTAGCGTTTTCACCGGGGGTCAATGCATTCTACTTCTTTTTTCTTTTCTCTGCTTTTTCGTCTTCTAACAAACAGACGAACTACACGAACCGATCATCATCATCATCATCATCACCATCGTCACTGCCATCGTCATGATGGTAATATCGGCGATAGAAGTCGCCGCACCATCGTCAGCGGCGGTCACTATTATGGGCATGCACATAATAATAATATAAAAAATATAATAATCCCTAGATCGATTATATATCGTCCGTTTTTCTCCTCTTATTTAGCCATGTCGCGGCGAACGCAATGGCCGGCGAAAAGTACACGACACGGGCGACCTGTACCCGCGTCTGTGTATCCAAGTATTATACATACGTACGTATGAGGATATACACACACAAATATATATATATATGGTGTCAACAAGAACAATAACAACAACAAACTAGATAGCACTCGTAGATTGTAGACTTTGTGTTCGAACTTTTTAGAGCCGCTATATAGATAGATAGTGGACCAACTCTTTCCTCGTGGAAATTATTCCCTCCTGTCTTACGCTTGTTGGCCAGATGATGCATAAAGAAGTCGACTTCCAGATTTTTGCTGAGCATTTCCTTCGGCTAAATCTACTTCATAAATGGTAAACCCGTTTGGTTCGTCTCACCGGCTAAAAACACGAATTAAAATTCTGAATATATCGGATCAAAGTCGGAGAAAACGAGTAGACTGACAGCATTGTTTAAACATGGCAAACAAATGAGTTCTACGTCATTAGGCAAACAAGTGAGACACAATCGGCACACGATCATTAACACTCCGCGGGAAAAAGATGTTCTGAGTTTTTTTCTTGGTGTGCCCACGTAAGCAGTAACGATCGCTTAGCGAGAGACTCTAACCGTTGGAAGGAGATGTTACTTAAACGTCTGATTTTGGCCTTGCGTTTTGTTTATATGGAAACCTCGGTAAAAGGTTTTCTATGAAGACCTAACTTGTCCCGTGAAAAAGGCTTTTATACCAGTAAAACAGGATGCGTAATGTGGTTGGCTTTAACTTTAAAATAACATATTTTTATTTGAACAGTATAGAATACGAGTGTTTCATCATAT